AAAGGGAAACCTAGACTGGTAGCTGAGGCTCAAGTGGTGCTACCACCACGACCTCAACCCCATTCCCAAAAGTGGGTAACTCAATGGGGACTTGGGCACCTACCCTTTGGTAAGAATGGAGTCAAAGACCTCATCATGGGCACAGAAAGTGTTTTCATCCTACGTATTCTTTGCTCTCCGTGTTTGTCTAGGATGGGGAGAATAAACAATTCAAAGGACAAGTCAAGTTTACCTTATAACTCTTATATGCATGTGCTTGCATCACCTAACATTGATTGCAGCAGTTAAAAGTTTGGAAAGGTCATGACACTGCCTTTTACTTTGCTATAATAGAAATGCATGCATGATTTAAGTTATACAATCCATATGCATTAGTTTTCTGAAAATAATTTTCCTTTTTGTATCATAGTTCAGCAGTAGGATCAAAGTTGCGATGTAGTACTGCAATCATGAACACCTAGTAACAATACTAACACTAGTAACAATACTCACACTAGTAACAAATCCACAGCATTCTTTCTGACTTCCATTTTTTTTTTTTAATGCGTTTTCTGAGTTTCAATATTTTGCACTCACAATATTAAAACTTCCAATAACCACATCACCAATCACATATCAGCGACCCACACAAAATTCCATACAATAGTTACACAAGGAATTTGTTTTTAATCAAAAAAGAAATAACTAAAACAGATATATTAATCACAATTTCCATGGTGTTCTTTATGAGTTCCACTTTTTTCTGATAAATGAAACAGCTATAAATTTTTAATAATAAATTTCATAACTTGGTTGATGACTCAATTAAGGTATCAATTCAATCAGGAGAAGCCCTCAATCCTGAATTATGAATTACACCTTATGTAGAACACAAACCGTAATCGTTCAAAGCTCTTTGATATATTCTCTTTTTCACTCACTCTTCCTGATATGTAATAACAGCATTTAAACATACATGCATACATATAAGATTGATTGCTATGATACATGCTGAATGTATCTCAATCATCCATTGTTAACAGCAGATGGTTGAGATGATTCATTCTTAGCTCAAGTGGAAAGAGACAGATGTCAGCAAAGGAAAGGCTCATCTCAGCACTCTATTATAGACAACAGACAGTAGAAATTACATGCACAATGCTGCTTGCACGCTGTAGGCAACATTGCATATGTGGTTGAGAGGAATTTTGCACTTTGAGGACTCACCCTGAGTCGTTTTCTTACTGCTTGATGATTTGTTTGGATTTCCTCTAGGCAGCAAATGGCCTGTGTGGACAAATCTACGTACACACAGGAAACCAACACTCAGATAGGTCAAACATATGTCACGTTATGAGTACTCCTCTAGAGCACAATAAGAGATGCATGGTGCACAAGACACAAAGAACATTTGTTGTATGGGATGAAACTGCTTATCCCACAGTGAAATCTCAAGGTATTTGATCAAATAAATGCAACCACTTATAAATGAATCCATCATTACACCGGATCAAATATCACCTGTGTGGTGGAGCTGACTTACTTCATGAAAAGACAGATTACAAAAGGAAGAATTTTCAACCTAAGAAAGAAAAGATACAACAAAAATATGGCACAAGGATCAAGTGCAAGTGATAAGAAAGTCTCTTCATATCAAAGAACTGGTTATGCAGAGCTCATTCGCTAGGACTAGAATGCATGTAGGAAGATATGTAGTTATCATAACAGCTGGAACTGACAGAGTAGGTTGGCTTGAGAAAGTAGCAGTGAGGAGTCCAAGCATAAGTTAAAAAAAGATGCCTATAGAAAGAAAATTTAAAGCCCCATTAAACCCATCATCATCATCATCCAAGCCCCATTGAACCTATGAGAGTCAACAATTTTCCTGAGACCCAAGAAGGCCACCTAATATCATAGTACATAACTACATTTGCAAAGGAAAAAGCGCATATTCTTGTGTTTGCTTCTGTTTAGTTTAGCGCCCAATATAAGCTAAAGCTAACCAGACTAGATGCCATATGATCCTCATCCTAGACCTTAAGTATCAAGGTTCATGTCAACACTAATATTACACGGAGCCGTGAGTAGTAATTGATATCCTCAAACTCTAGCATTGCAAATTAGTATCAACCAATGATCACATCATTTCAGTTACTTCTTGCTAATATACTTGCAAGAAAAGTATGAGATCCCTGTTAATGACAACCACGAAGGCATTGCTATGCTAATTTTAGCAAGACGGTTGGATTTTGAGGTTGATAAAGTGATAATTGTTTTTTTAAAATCATATTTGCTTCCTAGCCTCCTTCAGAACTTTCACTGATTTGGGGGAAGACTTCAGGGTTTTTTTCTGATTAAGAAAATTCAAGTTCAAAGACAGTAAAGCTAACAATAAATAACTATGAATCGAGTAAAATATTTAAGAACATTAACAGAAAATGTAGAATCTTTCAAAATGAAACCACTACATTGCCACTGACATTTTGGCATCATTATGGACATATAATTTTGTATTTATAAAAACTCTGTTTGGTGGAAAACATACCAAAAAAAAGAGTAAAATTTTGATTTAATTAATTAGAGAGGAAAATGTTTCACAGAGAGAATGGAAGAACACAAATCTATATAAATCTAGATTCGACAAATTTAGATCTCGTATTTTAATCAGAATCTTTATCAGTAAATGAATTCCTAAAAAAATAGAAAATTTAATACCCACCACAATACTTAGAAGTTAAAACCACTCCTTAACTTCAGCCCTCAAAATATGGACAATTGCATGGCCTACCATATATAGAATCTTTCTCAATAACTTGCAATTTTGCCCAATGAGGAGACATTAAAGCAGGTGCTTAAGAGAGGAAAAATAAATTTACCAAATAAAAAATAAACAAAATAGCACTGGTTCAATTTTAACATGGCTTTGCTTTGGTATAGAGAATGAAGCCGAAGGCTTTGGCTTTGCTTTATTATGGAGACTGAAGCCAAAGCCTTCGGCCTCCTCAGCTGAAGTGAAGCAAATTTAATTGAACTAGCAGTTTAAATAAAAAATAAATAAGGTACAATGATCCAACTTACATTAACAGATTGACTATGCATTCACGCCAATCCACTTTTTTTGGATTGCATGACATTCATAGTGTATATGAAATTCCAATATGCCAGCAAGATTGCTGCATATTGCTTAAGTGGTAGTACGCAACTGGAAAAATGCATTTAGCACAAATTGCCAGAGCCTCAGGGGACTAACTCGTCATGAGACTTGATCATAGACAATTAACTATTTAGAGGCAGACGAAGGACATATGAGTTGGGGAAAGGACACAAAATTCCCTGGATTACTCTTTCTTCTTCTTTTTCCTGATTCTTTACTATCAATTTCATTGTTTGTATGAAGGTATACAAACAACTCCCTGGATTACTAAATTAGCAAAAGGAGAAATCATGAAGATCTGATCTAGTTAAAGATAGCATGCTATGTATATAGGTCATGGGAAAAAAGAAAAAGAAAAAGTGAACTATGTTTCATCAAAGAAAAGTTCACTTATGTCCAAAACTACGACACAATAAAAACAAATAAAGTGCCCAAGCATATCTTGCCTATTGAGACACTATAAATCTTTTTCAACCCTTATAAAATGATACATTATTACTATTGGACTGTAGCTCGGATTGAGGTCAGGGACTAGCCATGGTAGTATGGTACAACTCCATCCCATAACTTTGACAGAATATAGCAATGTCATCATATCCTATGAAGTTCCACAACAGAAACTTCATACTATAGCATTGAAGCAGCCTTTTACCTAGGATCTGCACTGCTGAAGGCCGAAGTAATAGGGGCAAGCAGTAGAGAGAACAATAACAAAGTCGACATCCTCCTATAAATCTAGCTGAAAAGATAACTGGGAGCCCAACAAAGAGTGTATCTGTGTGTGTAGACAGAAAGAGAGAGAAAGGGGAGAGTATTAAAATCCATAAAGCATAAGATCAAGGTCTAGTTTTTTCACTCATTGAGCAATTATTCTAATCCAATTATCAAAAACTGCAGTGCTTGTACCTTTTTTTCCCTTTCTCTTCTTTGCCGGCACAAAACCTCTGTGTGTGCATTTTTGTATGTTGTAATCTCTCCTCTTAATACACAGTAAACAGTTTCAAAAAAAAAAACCACACAAGTACAACCAGTTCTAGGATCGTAATAGTGCAGGTGCTCAAATTTTCCATGAGAAAACATGATGTTCACATATAGGAGTACCTACCAGACTCTAGTCAGCAAAACAAGCTCAAAAGCTCACAGTATAAGGGATTCACAATAGAACCTTTCATGATGATGACTGTTATAAACCTTAAGAGTGTCACCACAGTATAACATCTCGATATACTCCAAGTTGTCAACCACTGATTGGAGTTTTAGTTTACATGTTCAGAAAATTTTAGGTTTTTTACTGTTATCAACAAGAAAATAAGTTTTTATACTGTCTTTAAATCTACAGCCCCAATTATACGAAGAAAATACCATCAACTAACTCATCTTCAAAATACACCAACAAGTTATTCCCAATTACACAATATTGCACAAATGAAAAGCCATAAGAAATAAATAACAGTAAGAAATCACAAACCCAACAGGTGGCGACCATGAATTCTTGAGCATGAATAGTTTTGCATGATCATTTGGGCATATAACACATAAGATATTAGATTAGGGTTGAAAATTGAAAATTTACAAGATGAAAGCCTAGCATAATAAGGACACTAAGTGAGGCCATTTAGCCCCATCACAAACCCTAGCATCATGGAATCATACTTGAACCAAAAGCAACCATTCCAAAACCCTAGTTTCTGGAAATCAAACTCTGGATGAATGATAGCAAAGCAGATCAATACATGTTCAAATCCCGCCATTTCTATTGTAAACGAAACAAAAAACAACGCAGATAAGGGAAGGATAATACGGTTAATCGGTGACCTAGGTAGAGAGAGAAAGTTAACGACAAAGGGGGGAGAGAGAAAACACACACCTGCAAAGCCAATAGCAGCTTGAAAACCCTCAAAACTACTCCTTTCTCTCTCTATAACTCGCTTTCTCTCTCCTATTTATAAGCATCAAATTGGGAGAAGAGGGAGGCCTGGTAGAGCAAAGGGGAGGTGTCTGCCTGTCCTGGTTCTAATCCTCTTTCTCTCTCTACACTATTTCTTCGACATTTTATAGGGGTAAAATGGGAAAATATCGACAAAATTGAATGGCTTTTATGCGCAAGTTTGAAAAGTCCTTGTTATTTGAGTAATGACGATAACATCCTTCGCTATAGCGTACCGTTTTGGAGTTTTGTGGTTTGTAGAGAGTATATGAAATTCCATTGTAATGTGATCATGGGATCATCTCCATCGAATAAATGCGTTGGACGGTGACAAATGAGTGACTATAAATTCAAAATTTAAATCTTATTGCGCATTTTACCTACATTCACACTTTTTAATGAACTTTAATATTTCCCATTCTCGATGTATTTATAATTTATGAATAAGGAATGTATGACACACTAGCATTGCTAGGCACCTTCATAACAACTATTACATGTATAGATGGAACCTTGGGGTGTTGTTCTCAGTTAAAAAATATACTATATATGTATTAAGTCTAAAATATTGTCATCAATCCATTTAAGCATATAGAATATAATTCAGTTTTTTTTATTTTTTCAATAAATCTCATTTTAATAATATTTCCCTAGGTCTCGCTACTAAGAAGAAGTTCATTTCTTAAAATATCCCATATATGTAGGTGGAAAGGGTCACATTTATCCCGATCAGAGCAAGTTTCTTTTTGAGTAGATGAGCGATAGAGGAAGGGTCACATTTATCCCGATCAGAGCAAGTTTCTTTTTGAGTAGATGAGCGATAGTTCTAATCCACCTAGTCGGCTCTTTGAAATTCTTTAGTAATTAAAAATATTAAAACAGGAGGTTCATGGGGAGGGGGAAGCGTAAAGTATGGGAACCAGGTGAGTATGGTGGATCTTTAGACCCTGACAAACCATCCCTCAATTTCAAACTGGCTTGAGAAATTTCGAATTAGCTCGCAAATTTTTAAGACAGCTTCATATGATAATCTTCTAAAAGTGAACAAAAGCCTTGGCCAAAACATTTCCCACATAAAAGGTTGCTATACTTTTTAGTTCGCTTGTTAATATATATTTTCCTTTTGTACAATTGATCATAAATAGTAGCTCCAGCAATGTCAAATTATTTAGATCAAAATTTGCATGGTAATAATAAAAAATGACAAGCAAGACAATAGGCAAGATTATCAGAACAAAAGTGGGGAAGGATTTCATATATCTTTACATAATAGTATTTATGTGCTCGGAGAAATCCAAATATTTATCCAACTATTCCATCTTGAAGAGACAACTATGAATAACTCAAGAACAATGTCAGTAATAAATTATGGCTTGTCCGATATGGTTTCAATGTGTGACATTATTTCAACTAACTGCCATTCATTTGATCAAGATCGAATGATTGTGCGTCACTCAAATATAAATTATGTACATAAAGACATACAAAAAGATTTCTCAATGTAAATTAATAATTAATAGGTGATAGGATATTATTAATTAAACTTATATTAAGATAAGAGATAATCAATGTAATTAGCACTTATGCACCACAAGTAGGATTAGATGATAGCATTAAGAAACAATTTTGGGATGACATAGATGGAATACTCCAAGACATATCAAATGGAGAGATAACCTTTTTAGGTTGGGTCTTAAATGATCATGTCAGAAAGGATAGTAGAGGATATGAATGGGTACATAGGAGATATGGGTTTGGGGGAAAAAATAAGATGGGTGAGACTATTCTATATTTTGTTATGGCCTACAACCTAGTAATAGCAAACACTTACTTTAAAAAGCAATAAGAACATTTAATAATCTATAAAAGTGGAATACATAAGAGCTAGAGAGACATCCTCCTAATTAAGAAGGTAGATCGACCATCATGTAAATATCGCAAGGTTATCCCAATAGAGAGTTTGACTACCCAATATAGGCTCGTGGGCATAGACGTCTGAATAAAGACATGGAGGAGACGAGGTGAAAGTAATGGGCGTGCAAAAACTAGGTGGTGGAATTTAAAAAATGAGAAAATTTATTTATTTAGGGATTAAATTAGTTAAAGAAGGAAAATGGAACCCTGAACATGATGTCAAATGTAATATGAAATGAGATGGCTGAATGTAGCAAGAAAGTGGCAAAAGAAGTTTTAAGAGAATCTAGAGAGAAAAGAAACTTCGATAAAGAACTTTGGTGGTAGAATAGTGATATTCAAAAGGCCATTATCAAAAAACGATCATGTTATAAAACGTGACAGTGTAATAGAAACGATCAAAACTTCAAAGAATATAATAATGTTAAGAAAAATGCTAAATAAATAATAAGTAAAGTTAAATTTAGGCATATGATCATCTATACAATAAACTAGAAACAAGTGAAGGTGAATAAGATATCTTCAAATTTGCAAAAACAAGAAAGAAAAAATATTAGGATCTATATCATATTAAATATATTAAGAGTGATGATAAAAAGGTCTTGGTGAAGGATGATGAAGTAAATAAAAGGTAGAGAGTCTATTTTTAAAAATTATTAAATGACGAACACAATGGGAACATAAAGGTAGAAGTGACTATTTGTACAAGTGACAGCATAGATCATAGATGTATTCACATGATTAGGATGTTAGAAATGAAAGAAGGTTTGAAAAGGATGAAGATAAAAAGGGCTTTAGGACTAGATGATATTCCGATAGATATTTGGAAGTGCATGGGGAAATTAACATTGACTGATTGGTGAAAATGTTCAACAAGGTGTTGAAACAAAGAAAATGGCAGGCAAATGGAGAAAAAATATTGTGGTACATATTTACAAAAACAAATGAGACAAACAAAATTGTGCAAACTATCGAAGAATCAAGCTTATGAGTTATACTATAAAGCTCTGGGAGAGAATCATTGAGCAACGACTAAAGGCATGAAATGAGTGTATCTGAAAACCAATTTAATTTTATGTCAGGAATATCAACAATTTAGCTTATTTTCCTACTTAGGCAACTGATTGAGAATTTTAAGGCGAAGGAATAAGCCTTCCATATGGTATTTATTGATCTAGATAAAGTTTATGATAGAGTACCTCAATTGTGGGTGTATGAAAAGAAAGGTACATCTCGACACTACATCGACTTGATGAAAGATATGTACAATGAAACACTAACTAGTGTACGAACAACTAGTGGATAGACGAATAAGTTTTCAGTGACAATAGGTCTACATCAAGGGTCAGTATTGAGTCTTGTAGATACCCCATTTTTAAAATTAGCAAATTTCATAATTTTCCTAACCTTAGAAAAATCATAAAACCACACTATTTCAGTAGACTCCGAAACCATAGACCACCATAATCCATGGTCCCCATCTTATGATCTAAACCTAGCAAATCCTATAGTTTTTAGTAGTTATCCATTCCACATTCATGGTTTTGGTAGTTAACCATTCTACACCTAGAAATCATATGGTTTTTAGTAGTTATACAATCTACATTATCCCTATTAGGTCTATAAGAAAAGAAAACTAGTGTGCCTAAATGGGGGGAAAAGTGGGACATATAAGATAGAGAGAAGGTGGGACGTGTCGACCTATAGAAAATCAGAGAAGGCAAGAAAGCCTAGAAAGAAACTAAAAAAAAGAGAGAGCCTAAAGAGAAATTCAACCAAGCCAAGGCATGGTTAAAACCTGAAGAGAAACAAAGAGGACGCACGACATAAACTCAGCCGATCCTGATACAAGCGGGGCCTCGAAGCCTCGGGTTTGCCGGCCAACTAGCATGACCAGATATTTTTCTCATTTTTTTCTTTATTTTTTAGTTATTTTGTTAAATCTAGGTTTTATTTTGTATTTCATTCAATATTTTGTGTTTTTCAGATCTATGCTGACTCTGCCACTGATATGAGACTGGGTCAACTCATTTCTAAGTAGATCTTGTCTCATATCATAATTTGATTCTGCCCACCTCTATCACTCTTTTAAAAATCAGTTTGTAGTGTTCAAATCTGAGGCATCTTCCTCTGAAGATCTCTTCGATTTGTATCATAAACAAACACGTACATCGTTATCTTAGTTATGGATGACTTAACTAAGCACCTACAATATGAGGTACTATAGTACATGTTGTTTGCAGATGACATAATTTTAGTTGATGAGACTCGAAGCGGCGTCAACACAAAATTAGAACTTTTGAGGGATGCTCTAGAATCCAAAGGTTTTAAAATTAGTTGGACTAAGACAAAGTATATGGAGTACAAGTTTAGTAATAATAGGAGTAAAGACAAGGAAGTAGTTAAGATTGACGGTCAAGAAGTACAAAAAAGGCCGTATTTTTTATATCTTGGGTCGATAATCTAGGAAAATAGAGAGATCGATGAATATGTCGCACACATAATTAGATTAGGTGTGCGAAGGAAGATGTGCAACTGAAATTTTATGTGATCGTCGTATACCAATGAGGCAGAACGACAAGTTCTATAGGGACATCGGTGAGACCAACTTTATTCTATGGGGTAGAATATTGAGCAGACAAAAACAATATACCCATAGAATGAATGTAGCGGAGATGATGATGTTGAGATAGATGAGTGGCAAGACACGTAGGGATATAATTCGAAATGAATCTATTCGAAACAATTTAGACGTCATACCAATAGGCGATAAAATGAAATAGACTTATGTGCGCTAGCCATGTGTGACACCGACCAAGCACAACACCTATTAGGAGGTACGAGTTAGTTCAAGTGAAATGACTGAAAATGGCAAGGGGTAGGCCAAAAAAAACGTGGTTGGAAGTAGTTTGAAAAAATATGGGGACTTATTGCCTCACTGAGGATATGGTCTTTAATATAACAAAATAAAAAATCGGGATTCATGTAGCTGATCCCAATTAATTGGAAAAGACTAAAATGATGATGATGATGTGTAAATAAAAGTAGCGGGGCCACTTTTTATTCTTTATTGATTGAATTTCCAAATATTGGATTAAAAATAATTGAATCCCTTACGGATGTTTCATAAACCTAAAGGTAATTAGTAAAGAGTGACCCTAAGTTTTTACAAGCTTATACAAACTAACGTTTACTC